GAACACTGTGTGACTGTGTGCGTTGTGTTTGCGATCAGACAGAAATTCAGAGGCACTACCAGTTCTTCCCTCTGATGAAGAGTACTCGTTGCTCTCCAACAATGCAAAAAGCAATCTTCCGCGACCTCTTCAGTTTGTCATTCCACAACGTTTTGTTACATCGCCGCTGGTTCAGACCTTGTCTTACATTGACAATCTCCTTCCGGGTACTGAGTTAGAGGTTCACACCACCACATCTGCAGAGGCTGTTGCCCTGCGACCAATGATCAAGAATGTGAGGGTGCTGACTCTTCCATACCTGGAATTTGAGTATTGCAATGTTTACAGGGGGACCTATGGGAAAACACGTCCGTTGGTTCATCGACATCCTGATGCTATTGTCATTTTGTGGCAGAAACGTGATGTGGATCATGTGTTTTTTGACGATGGCGCAGTTGCTTCCTTGTCTTCAGGATATGCAATCTACTCGTTGGTCCATGAAAGTTCTCTGGAACGAAACCAAAGGCTGTGGTTCCAGAAGGGAGCCTGATGTTGTTTTGGACTTCACGGACCAGCCAGCACCGGCTCCCGCGGCGCCGCCACGGCCGCCGGCCACTGACGATGAGGTGGACTATCCAGGTTACGATGATCCATGGTGATATGCCTGTGGATCATGAGGATATGCCGCCGCAGCAACCTGAGCAGGATCTGGACGACGATCCTGTTGAGCTTCAAGTCGGTGGTGACCCTCCGTCACAGCTTCTTGGAGGCGGTACTCAGGTACGGGTACCAGGTGGCGACGACGATTCGGACTTGGATATGCCTTACGAACCGGACGATGGTGAAGGACCACCACCAGGAGGCGGTCTACAGGGGACCGGAACCTTGCAACGGACCTGGGAAACTCAGCAAACCCCACTCTCGGAGCCCACCTCGGAACCTCCTGTGCCGGACACTGGCGAAGATACTGACTCCGACGCCACTGTTGACTACCGTGAGGATAGCTTGCTTGCCTTCGCTGCTGGCGACGATGACGTCTTGATCCGCCTTCCATCGGCGTTCAAGGTTCCTTCTTTTGTTCCTTTGGATGGTGATGGTTTTGCGTCTTGGTTGACCAAGAAAGACAAAATCAAAGCCGGCAAGCTGACGCCGGAAATGCAGCGCAAGTGCGCGAAGGAAATTCGCGCTGCTAAGCTGGAAGAGTTCAAGAGTTACTTGGACAATGATGCTATCCGGCTCATGGACCGGCATGGCTGCGGCAGGACACGCCTCGATGGATACTGGAAGCTCCTTTCAGGAGAAGGCAGCAGTGCAAGTCTACCGGACACCGAACATTGGGGTGCAATCTTCGAATTGATCTCATCACCGGTGTCCCGGACTATGCCATGTGTCTGAAGAGCGCGTCCTGGGAGCCACGCCGTAGACTCCGATCAGTTGGAGATGGCGGCGTGGTGATCTACCCTCATGGGTTGAACCGCATCTTCCCGAAAGATGCACCTGTGGCCTCGCTCAAGCTCAAACCGGAAGGTGTCCCTCGACACCCTGGACACAAGGATGTTGCGGCATACTTCTCATATGGGGAGACAGCCGTAACAAAGATGCTTGAAGGACAGTTGGCATTTTTGTCACATGTCCGGCGCTATGAGGAGAGCCACCCGGGAACACACCTCCTGCAGAAGAACCTCATCCGGAAGTACGAGTTCCTCTGCTGTTTCCGGGCTGCTTGGACTCGAACGGACTGTTGGAATTGCGGCACAAGGAACGGCCGTTCTGGCAACATATATGGAGGTGCCTCTGGAAGGCATGCAGCGACACCAGACTCGCCCTTTGAGTGGCGCCCGAGGAAGTTCTTCTTCCTCATGGCCAACTCTAAGCACCGTTTCAACATTCGGGTCGCTCCCAAGGCTCTGGTCTTCGATCGGTTCCTCGATTGGGACTTTGACATTTGGATTTCCCGAGCAGGATCCCGAGCAGAGCCGCCGACCCCGACTACGCACGGAAGCTCGAGGCACACAATGCTTTAATTCCTCAAGGAAAGGGATGTGTACCGTGAGATCCAGTATGTCAGGGAGGACTTCTCGATGCTCATCTCGGTCATTGAGGCCACCCATCCACCCATCCACCGACGGATTCCTCCACAACGATGTCCTCGTATGGACGGGTAAGTTCAGATTCCCGCTTCTCCTTGAGATTCTCATACGCGAGAAGGTCTGACTTCGCTTTCTTTGCAAAACGAGATTTGAAGTCTTTGTGTTCGGTACCATTCAAGGTTTTTCCAAACAGGTGAGGATGTACGGTGCGTTGAAAGGCGGTCGAAGTGTAGAATCATAGAGACCATACCCTTCCGGTGTTCGCACCATGTACTTTCGTCGAACCTCTTCATTCTGAGCATTCGTCTGAATTTAGCTGAAGAAGTCAGGCCACCGGAAATGAAAGACTTTAATGAATTTCACCATCTTCGAATTAAGTTCTTTAAATCCTTTAAATTCGTCAAATTCTGTAATTTCCCTTATGGTGGGTTGTGGAATTAATTGGGATGGGAAATGAAAGTTGAAAAATTTGAAGAATTCAATTCCCCGTCCTGGAATTAATTCCCCCAACACCCCTTTTGGGAATTAAGCAAAGTAAAGAATTACAAGAATTTGATGGCTCTAATATACTTTAATTCCCGGCCCCGAATTGAATTCGTTAATTCCCAAATGGAGGGGGAACCCCATCCCGGAATTAATTCCTTTGCCCCCCTCCTTTGGGAATTAGAAAAGCTCAAGAATTCAATGAGTTTAGTTCCCGGCCCCGAATTAAAATTTTCAAATTCTTCACATTCTTCAATTCAAAAAAGGGAGGGGGGAACCCCATCCCGGAATTAATTCCTTCGCCCCCCTTCTTTGGAATTATCGAAATCAAAAATTCTACAGGATTTAGTGAATGTAACTCCCGGCCCCGAAATAATTTCTGTAAATTCTTTAAGGGCCCCATCCCGAAAAAAAAGAAACCCTCGCCCCCCCCCCCCTGTGGGAATTAAAAAATTAACGAATTTAAAGACTTTAATGAATTTAATTCCCGGCCCCGCGTTAACGTGTTTTAAGCACTTTAAACTCTTTCTAATTCCCAAATGGAGGGGGGCGGGAAATTAATTCCACGATGGAAAATTAGATTCTTTAATTTCTTTAAACGAGGCGAACATGAAATTTAATGAATGTAATTCTGGCTTTGGAACCCACCAGGATGCAAAAAAAATGTATTTGGAAGCAAGCTCTTGTATATGTAGTACGGATTTAGCTCAATATTTCTTCTATAACATACGAGAGCCAGCTTCCAAATCGACCCGGTTTAAGCTGCACCTCCCCCCCCCCCATTTGCTTAATACGCTCCTTGGGCTTTCCGACGAGGTCGAAACATAAACTAATCCCTAAATTCGCCCCTCAGCAACAAAAAAACCTTGAACAACAACCAGGGCCTTTTAGGGCCGACACGTCTAATGCGGGGTTTGACGTTTAAGGGCTCAGGTTGTTGTTGGTGTTTCGTGTAGGTTCGAAATCTCGCTTACGTTCAATACTTTTATTTGTATATAGCGTCAGAAGCAAAGTTGAAGTTATCTGGGTCACTTGTCATTGGTTCACTTGTACATTTGTGTTAATCGTAATGATCCAGTGTTGTAGTCCGAGTTGTGTTCCCAACCTGCTCCAATACCAAAAGCATGCATGTCTGTCTTTGTCTGTCACTTCGCTTCGTTACGTTTGACCGTCTTTACTTCAACAACGTTCTCATGGGTTTCCTCGTTTCGTGCCTTCGCTCATCGCAACATCATGCACTCTCTTCATCTAATTCCTGCTCATCTCCTAGTTGGATAACAGGCGCATGGCAAGCCTGTAGGAGCTAAACTTGGAAGGGTCGAAAGCAGGCTGCTTCTTTTGGTGTCGTTCCCAAGTTGTTGAAAAGCCAGCTGAAATACGAAGCAAAACAAATTACTTGAGGTCCGTGGGCGCGTCGGATGCGCCCTTGCCCGGCATCAGTAGCGGTAGCACCAGAATTTGGGTGTGGGGTGTAGGGCCTGGTTTTGGCCTTATGGTGTGGATGGGTTTAGTGACTTTCACTGGCTCGTACCTGTGGCCTATGTGGTCAACGTGAGCTTTGTAAGCGTGATATCTGAGAAGTTTATGTTTGAATGCTTCCTAGGATTAGGCTGTTTGTTTCAGCCCCTGGTTCACTATGCAGTCAATATCAGGGCCTGAGTGACCTGTAAAACTGTTCGTTACGTGTCAGGAGTCCTGCGTGAGAATATGACTAGCACAAAATTACCTCAAACCCTAGTCGAAGTAGTGAGGAATGTACATACAGCCTGTCGAATGAGGCTTCTAGTGTTCGACGTGTTCGTTTCAGAAAGCAGAGCGACCTCAAACTTAGCACAGGCCCCAGGCAGCAAAGCCTGAGTTTGAACACTTGCAACACCGAATGGTATTTTCCATCGCCACGCTGCTAGCTGCCCGAAATCTCTGCAAGTGGCAAAGTTTCGAACCGGACTGTCCTTGAGTTCTTCCAAACGCATGTCCCGTCAGAGCTCCCCCAATGCAGAACAGACAGATCGTTTGAGATATTTTTCTCTAAGATCAACTAAAGTCAGCTTTCCTTTAAAGAGCGGCCCCGCTTCTGAACCCCAGGGCTATCGCGTACGATGGAGGGCCAAGTCTTCGACCCTCGGCCCTAGAACCGAAACCCTCAAAAGACCCGAAACCCTATAGGCTTTGAGCCCCCGCAGCCCTCGACCTTGAGGCCCTGATGCTGGGACCTGCAACCCGAGAGCTTCATTGTACATGGAAAAATCTTCCACTCTGACTCCAAAAGCTTCATCCCTAAATCATACATTCCGTAAGCACTATTCCCTCAACCTTAGATCACTTAAATCCCAAACCTGTAAGCCCTTGCGATTTTCCCTACATCCTCAACGCCACAACCTGAGTCCCTCAACCCACGTAAAGCGTGCTCGACAAACACCGCCCGAACCCATGTCTATGAAAGACGAGGAACCTTGGGTTCACCAGCTGCTCCTGGCGGTAGGCCGGGGCACAAAGCTGTTCCCAGGGGTTCTACGAGATTTCCAACGACGTAGAGAGCAGGAATTCGGTGCTTGCGGGAATGATTCATGGACGGCTGTTTGGTGATTTAGCTGCTAGCTACACTCCATTCACTCCATTATTTCTTTGAAGACTATCAGGAGGTTGTGTCGTTCAACAGGGCTCCATCTGGCTTAGGTGGGTTATTGGCTCGACTTTACCAAACTTCGGAAGGCTCCACTGCGACCACTGCATGTTCATGACGGGTTATTGGGCAGGCGATCCTTCACTACAGGTGCTTCCTTTTGGGGACTTTAACCTTAACGCTTCAAAGATGTGTGTGTGTGTGTGTGCATGTGTATATATATATACACATAGCTAAATAAGTATACATATATACACACAGAACGATAAGTCCCACCCTCTACATATATATATATATATATCAATCTCCATCTCCACCTCTATCTATCGATCTATATGTGTGTATATGTATATGTATGTATATATATATGTGGTCACCTCCCCTTAAAACCGCTAATTATTCCAGATTGGAAAATCTGGAATTCTGGAAGAGTTAGCCACCGCACATTTGGAATTCTGGAATTATTGACTTTTGCAGTGCGGAAGTCTGGAAAATATAGTGTTACAACATCAAAGAGATAATAACTCCAGAATTCCGGAGCAGCAAGCAAAGGCAGCAAAGGTCAATAATTCCAGATTTCTCAGATTTTTTGAATTATTCCAGACTGCAAAATGCGGAAATCTGGAATCTAATCTGGAATTCTGGAATCATAGACTTTTTCCAATGTGGAAGTCTGGAAATAGAGTGTTGCAACATCAAAGAGACAATACCCCCAGAATTCCAGACTAGCAGAGGTCAAAATTCCAGATATCTCAGATCTGGAAAAAATTAGGAGAATCTGGAATTCTGGAAGAATTAGCCCCCCCAAATCTGGCTTTGTTGTTGAGAATCCGGATTTATTGACCCTCAAGTTTAGAAATATGGTATGACAATATCAAAGCATACCTTCTGGAATGAGTGGACCAGCGGATTACAGCATCACAGCATTTCCTGTCGCGAAAGCATACGTACTGCCAGCCGTGGAGCATCAGATTGTTCGAGCATCAGAGTACTCCGCGTCGCGAGTCCCCGAACCCCAGACCCTGAACTGAAGTTTTTCCGTCTCTTTGTACTTAACATGAGGGCGTGGGTTTTGGGGGGTGCCATATATGAAAGAAACTGTATAAGAAAATACAGATGTATACACATACGTATATACATATGTGTGAACAACTGATGCTGCCCTCCCACGACCGGGACTGAACCTGGACCGATTTTACCACCACAACAATCGTGGCTATCTTTGGCTCCAGACAAGAAGCGCAACCACATTCTTCAATGCCACAGCCAGCTCCTGGACCGATCCCCGGATCCACAGAGGACATCTGTGCGCAGCGAGCCCACGATCTACTTCGACCGCCGCCGTCGAGGAGCCGGTGTCACCGGAGTCACCAGTCCTGCAGCTACAAGTACGGCAGCAACAACTACGAAGACCTGCATGTACGAGGTGGATCGCAGTCGTCGCTGCTGCTCGAAGCTCGGAACCCGACGGCGATGGCGATGGCGACGACGACGATGACAGCAACAACAGCTAACAAAAAGCAAGCAAGCAAGCCAGCAGCAACAACAACAACAACAAAAACAGCAACAACAGGGGCAACAGGAACCTTGACCCGGAAGCGGCACACGGAACCCGAAAAGCAGAACCCTGACCCGGGAACCCGGCCCGAACCAAAACCCGAACAATCTGGAACCTCAACCCCGGACCCTCTGGGAGACTGATGCTGGTGGTTACCTTTGGAGAAAAGAGGTTAGTTGCGGCGCGCAGGCCCGGGGTTTACAGCGCAGTTGGATGGAAAAGGGCTTCGCGAGTCTCGTTACTTGTGCAAGTTACTCACTCATGTGGTGATGAAAGTGAACCGTGGAGATACCTTCAAAACTAAGTATTTAGGTGTCGCATTATTCGCGATGAGCTCGCACAAGGGCTGAACAATGACGCGCTCACGAATCAACAAGTACGCGATCTCCATTCAATGTCCCATGTCTGAAGGTGAACTATGGGCTCACAAGGACGAAGATAAAATATGTGGGACCGTTGCCATTGCTACACGTTTTGAGAGAGCGACAGATCTGCGGACAAACACGCCCGATGGTACGTTGTCTCCGCTTCGGTTTGCATTGGTTCCATGAAGTGCTGGAGTGGAAGGGTTCCAGAACGATGCCGAGACAAGTTGATTCAGGAAGACGAACAGGCTCGCTGGCCAAGGACCGGCTCCTGGGCCCTCATAGCCACGGATGTTATGGAAGACAGTCCAGGTCAGATTGTTGGGGAGCAGGAGGAACAATGGCAGCTGTTCTGACCAGGGTATCATTGACAATAATTCCAATATCGATAGTATCCTTCGGAACCTTCATGGACAACCCGCGCCCATCGTTTGGCTACAGATGATCTGACGCTATCGAGAATATACTTCGGAACCTGACCTTTGAAATCACTTACAACGTTATACACGAGCAATGTTTCAAATTCTAATCTTGTGAGAACCGGCCGCACGAAAACAAGTGGCTGGCGCAAAGGCGCTGCAACACAGCGACTTCTTGACGACGCAGCGACTTCTTGGCTCTCCCCCGCCAGGCGGAGGTTGCCAACAGGATTTGTCTGAGCCTTGTTGAAACCTGAAGCGTCTTTCGGATTGCGGCAACTGTATATGGAGATGCCGACAACAGCGACCTGTACACCGAGTCTGCGCCGTCGCAAGTTGTGAGAGCAGGACTTGCCATACCCTGCTGTCGGAAGGATGCCGAGGGGAAGGACGGACATCGACCCCAAGATACCCAAGTTCTTAGATTCTTGGACCGTCTCCACAGTGGACATGGCGGAGGTGCTACCTGGTTAGGGCGTTTTCTGCACAGAGACAGTCACTTGCACTTTGAGGCGGCTTCAAGGACAGTATGCTGTCGTCGTTGACAGCAGGCTGCTGGACCGTTGTAAAAGTGCATGGCGAGATATTTGGCCAGTCGCTATTTTCTGGTTCAGAACGACAAGGTTCAAGATTTGTGAAAGACTTGCTTTGTTTGTTTGATGATGTCGCATTAAAACTCATGAAAACTCCTGGCTCAACCCAGGACAGGAACTCACACAGGCAAGTTCGCTTGCACGCAATGCGGGGACCACCTATAGGAAAGACCTGGTTTGTTGTTAGTTTTGGCGGATGACCCAGATACGTCCCACCTGCCTTTTCGATGCCGACGATCGCCGGCTGATGTATCTCCCGTGCGTAGATCGCGGGCTATTTGTCCCACACATCGTTCGCCATCTCCCTGCCTGCCCCCCGGACAACCCAAAAGCACAAAGGGCAATGCTAACTAAGCGCCCGCCAGGAAGGAGGATGGTTTGATGATGTGTGGTTATTTTTCCTGCGATGTTGCTTATGCCCCGCTCGGCGAACGTTTCCATGGAGGGCGGCTTGTCAAGCATGGTGACACACCTTTGGCGTGGCGGAGGGCCATCAGCCCATGATTACCTTGTTGACAGTGGAGTCAGAATTACCGGCCATGTTCGACGACGTGGTGACGCTGAAAGGTGGGGTATATTTCGTCGTAGACATCAGAAAAAAGGCCACGGACAGGGAAATCACCCGTGACTGTTTAGCTGCACTTAGCATTTCGGCTGGTTCAACGTCATGCAGAACATCGCTCGGGGCCTTCGGGTCAGCACTGAAATGTGGGGTTAAGCCGTTGATATTTGGGAAAGAGCCCACCGAACATTCCGGGAACGAGTACAGCATCGCGCCAACATCGTGAGGTGGGAGAAGCCACCAGGTCCCACAATGGTAAGTCCAGGAGTGGGGATGCAAAGAATGATGCAGAGGAACCAGCCATGGCAACGGCCAGTGATTGCCGGAATCTCAGAGTCATGAGAACACAGCTCCTGCTGCAAATCAGTCTGAGAAGTCGAGCGAATGTGCGATTGTGATGATGATGTTAATTCACTGTTGAACACATTCGTCAAGGACCGAGGCATGTGGGGGTGTGATGTTTCTGGAGTCAAAGTAGGCCTGGCTGGATGAGATTTGGTTTCGATGATGATTCCTTACATTGGACCAACCAACCGCCAGTTGAAGTACGTATGTTATTTGATTTTGCCATCGCGCCCTCATTTCGGATAAATGCCAGCTACGATGGCGTGATGTTAATGACCGAAGCCGAGTTTTCGGCATCCACGCTAGGACAGCTGATATATTTCAATCGGGCAGTGCAGCGCATGGCGTCGGCATTGGACGAGGAGTGCAAAAGCCCAGCTCCATCCAGGTGTGAGCTTGTGTTTGTATGTTGTGCTCGTGTTTTGAAGGAAAACTGCTTGTATTGAACGCCAATGGGTCACGACAATAACCTTGAGTTGCATGCCGCAACATTATGACAATGTGCCAAAGATTTGAGTATTGACGAGCTCTGCACCAGTTTTGTGACGCCGCAAAGGCATCGGTTTCGATGTACGTGAAAGACCAGCTTGTGCAGACTCTATACCAATCGTGCTTGTTGTGTTCGTGGAACGTGCTACCATGTTCTCTTCATGGGTGCTGCAAGTGGGTGCATTTTCATGTTCGCTCAAGAGCAACCCTAAGCCCCTATGTTCTGGAGTGTGTGACGCCCTGGCGGAGTGTATTGAGTTTTCATTCGAGTTTTCACATTTAGTTTTAGGCTATTTTAGAAGGATATCCAGACTCGACCGTGCATACAATCGCCTCCCTTGCCAGGGGGGCTTCTGGCTCGTGGGATTCCAGTTCCCGCACCACCCACCCAGTTTAATCTTAAATGAAAGAAGAAAAGTATGATCGGTAACAAGCCCGAAGCGATACAGGTATGCTGGGTAGCAAAACCCTCTATCGCGCCTGGCTTCCGAACCCCAAAAACCTCAATCATATATTCTGCCGTATGTAAACCCAAATGCCTTTGGTGGTCCAAAGTCTTTCAAGAGATGATGGGGAGCGAACCCAAATCTTAGATTGAAAGTCGTCATTGGTTCCCAAATTCCAATTTTGTGTAAACTCACAACCTCATGCCCTAAGCACTAGCCCGAAATCGATTGCGATGTGCTGCCGCAGCCATGACAGGCAAACTGACCGGGTTGGCCGCCCTCATCAACACGAGCTTCAACACTCGCAGCTGGACATTGGTTCGCTGGTCCCTTTTTTGGCTTCGGGCTGAAGGATTCTAGGGTTTGAATAAAGTTAGTAGATTCATGAAGGTTTCGAGGTTCCTGCGTGGCACAGCTTGTGGAACCAGTTGGTGAGTTTTGTGGTGCGGGATTTACGGTGTAATAGCATGGGACTGAATGCAAGTACTGCCAAACCAGAGACGAATTTAGGGCAAAGCACCCCTCGTGCATTAATTATTCAGGTCGCTGGAATAATTTTGGGGGTGTTCAGGAAATCGAACAACCCCCAACAATACTGGCAAATTTGGGCCTGCCTTCGAGCGCATTGCCCGGCAAGATAGCACAAAATGCGCGAGTATGGGATTGTGTGCGTGGAAATGAAGACCCATGCCGTTGTGGCTGAGTTGTCGAACTAAACATGTTGGCATTGTTGAGCAACAGCCTCAGCCAACTGGAATTCGGCATCAACAACCATTGTGCTCAGCCGCTGTTTCGAGATTGAGATCTTAGTTTGGCATAAAGATTCTACGACGCACCAACTGTGGCCCTGCAGCACGCATTTGCTCGGAGTCCAATGTCCGTGATTTAAGGTGGAAAGCCAATCGTGAACACGGCTGCCTGGTGATGATATGGACCTCACGTAACCTACAGCAACCAGTGGCTGGAAAGAATCGGTTATTGTTACTATACTATATTATACTCCTAGGTTCCTGAATAGTACCCTTTTGCCCTTTCTGGTTTGGGGTCTTTTGATAAAACAGAGTATTAAGGGGAAAGGGTGCCTTCATGTATGTATGTATGTACGTATGTACGTGTATGCGTATGTGTCTGGTTGCACATGTAAATGATATGTTTATGGGCATGTGCATGGTCATATGTTGAGCAAAACATCTGCGTACATTTATATACACAAATATACGGTTGTGCTTGTGTGTCATATATGTGTGCGTATATACATATATATGTATACACACACATTGTGATGAGAGACGTATGTCACAAGCATTCCTTTTGCCATGCGACCCATCAGGTTTTGGATACCCCCTGCCATCTGCGCCCTAGCCCATTTTTAGCATGTCATTTCCTGCGAATATGCTGCTTCAACGTCGGGCCGAACCCGCAAACTCAATGCGAACAATATGAGCAGTTCTACAAGCTGAGTCGTGTGCGAAGTATTTTTTGGTTGGCGCTACATTCCACATTATCGAGGTTCAAGGTGCGCAGTGTTGAAAGCTTGATGCGGATTCCACATGTTCATCACTTACTCCAGAAGCCCGGTCACAAGTAAAGGTCTTTGTTCCCCGACTTCCATATGTCCCATTCTAGCAATGGGATGTTAACCTCATGCGCAGGCATTCGGATTTGGGGGTTCCAACCATTCCATATCATGGGCATTCATAGGCCGGAGATCTTGCGATTTATGGTCTTGGCGGGATCCCGAACATCGAAGAAAGCCGAGTTCAACGAACAACCCGCACGATTCTGCTGTGGCTTCTATAAAATTTTGGCCCGATTGCTGATGTAGCTTCTGTTGCATCTTCGGAGAATTGATCAGCTTGATTGCCCGAAAGCCTTAGCCTCATGCAAGCCCTACACCTTAAACCCTGAGTTTTGATGTCACAGGTCAGTGAGAGCCTGGAGATGTTAGACACTCTGCCCGACCTCGACTTCGTCCTCATTGAGGTCGGCTTTGTGACCAAAGACGACCCTTTTTGAATCATGTTTAAATAACGGCTGCGGATCTTGTGAAGTTTTACTCGCCCTAGGCGCATCTTCAATTTCCTCGAGAGTCTGCTTGGGAGTGGAAGCGAAAGCTGGAAACTACAGAAAAGCAGCACGATTTTGCCGGTTTGCTGGAGTGTGTGCACATCCATGGCAAATTTCATCTTCAACTCAACTCCCAGCTTCTTGTGGCATGTCCCGGTATGATAATATTGACCCAGGTACTTTTAAACCCGAAACCCCTCTCGTATCTATGGGAGCTGGGCGTGGGCCGGTGGCAGGACTACTTGTTCACGGCCCCGGCGGTGAAACTGCCCATGAAGAAATTCGACGATGCGCCTGCAAGGCTTGTTTTGTTGTTATGTTCAGGGATTGAGCAGGGTTTCAGTGTCTGTGGCTAGGGGCTGAGCGATCTTAAAACCTAAGCGCGACATCGTCGTAAGATTGGGTGTCCGTTTTGTGGGCCTCGAGGCAGGGTCCAGGATGCAAGTCTTGCAGAGGTGACACTTGGACAACTATCGATGATGGTTGCCAGAGGTGGCGGTCATTGTTTCCCCTACATAGCCTGCTTGTGGAAGTTTCTTCAACTAGGTGTGTCGGATTCTGCGGCATTCCTGATACCCGATCACACCGACAGCTGAAGTAAGGTTCTATCAAATTCGTTTGGAATCTCAGAAGCTGGAGCAGCCCACCCCGAGTCTAATGGCCATCGTCCATCATCGTCCCACAGCTGCCGGCCATCTGTTGCTGCAGCTCACGAAACCTACAGTGTTCGGTAATATCCCCTGCCGCATATCTATCCTTGAAGAGATAGCTACAGCTACAGATTGGGTGTAGGGCAAAAGCACCGGCTCTGAAAACCACAAACAAGAACAAGTTGAATTTGCCGAGACTTCTGCAGTCTCTAAGTCGGTATGACTAACATAGCAAAGCGTGTTGATATAATTATTCCATGCAAACTCGAAACTCCAAATCCAGAGCATGAACTAAACTTCAACACACCCACAGTTCCCCACCAAGAACCCAATCAGCCCTCCCTTAGACGTGAGATACCCATCATTTAGGTCATTTCAGGTCTTCAATTTTTCCTTTGAATATCCATTGGATACCTGTAAAGTAAAGAAAGAAATCCCTAGACTCCTAAACACTAAACCGCAAAAGACCCCCAACCCTGAACCCTGAGCCATCAGCCCTGAACTGCTTCTTCTCGTTGCGAGGGTCAGTGTCGTCGAGACCTATGAGCCTCGAATTCGCGTGTGAGATCTGGAGCTGCTAAGAACGACAACATGACATGCAGTTGAGGATTCCTTTAAGGGTTCTTGAATCAAGCTTTATGATTAGGTCAGCACTGTGTTGGTCCTTGGATCTTGGCAACAGTATAGGTAGGCACATCGGATGCATTTTGGCCCCGATACTTTAGGAGACCTGCCGCTGCCAGAAAGTAGTCATGTTTGCCAATAGCGCCTCACGTCCAGAAAACTCAGACTGACGAACGTCCTGCGTATGATACTGCAGAGGCCTGTCTCCTGAACTCGAAGAAACAGAAAGAAAGCTCTGGCTTGCATGGAATCCGAACTCGGCAAAGATTTGGTGAGTACCATAACTTGTCTTTGCAAGCTAGCTCAACTGCGCGGAAGTGTGCGTCTAATATCTGTATACGTACAAGCATGTATCAACACACATGGACAATCTTCATATAGTATACCAGCCTGGATCCCCAAACAGCTGTAGAGTGCAACGTCACGACGACCACGACCACCAGGACGACCAGGACAGCCACGGAGGACCAGGGCGACTGCGACCACCGGAACAACACAAGGAGACTTCCAGGAAACAGCCAGGAGACCCCGGAAATCGCCAGAGACCACCGTCAACCAGGTCACGACTACGCCACTGCATTCCCCCGATGTCTGAAACCAGGACATGATTAACATGCACCCATTGCCCCTACTGGTAAGATTCAAGCATATCGGGGTCAAAACGAGGCCAACGGTAGTGGGATCCGGGCAGGACCTTCAGCAGGCCCGCTGATCGTTTGCAAATCATGTATATCACACAGTTTGGGAAATTAGATGAAACTTGGCGGACACTACGTTCTTAGTCAACCCCACAAAACATGCATCAAACCAGTCGTTGGTGGATGCGGTTTGAACTTCGCTGCTGCGTCCAGTCGAGTGATAGACTGTCAACATCCTCAGCAGCCCAAGACCCCAGCACTTTTAGCCTCAGCCCTCAGCCTTGAATAATATGTGCCTCACTCCCTGGCGGTCGCCTTTTGGCCCCAATGCATAGCCTCTGATTGCCGAACCTGAAACCCATGAAAATCTTGGCCCAGCTGGAGTTTGGGAGTACATGGTCATAGGCGAAGTGGCAGTCTTTCTGAGTAGTACGGATGATTTCATCAAATGTCATTGCACGTTACATGCAGCCCCTTACAAGAAAGCTGGGCCATTAGGGAACATGTCCTTCTTCTGGGCGCGTCTTCATTTTGCCATCTCCGCGTTTGCAGCATGGCAAGCATGGGGCTCTCTATGGTCATAGCCATCTCCTGTCAAGCCGTGGGCTTGGCAGAGCAATGGAGGGCAGTGGGTTTGGGCCCACCGGTGTCTGACATCTCCAACGGCACCTATACCTACGTGCCTTACACCTTTGAGCGTCACCACATGCATCGTCCTTTGATCTTGGGATTCACGACAGTTGGACACGACATGGGTTTTGTTGCCACGCTGGGCAGTGAGGTTCTGGCAGCGTTGGAGCTGGAGAGATACCACAAGATCCGGTATTTTGATTTGCGCGTTCTGTCTGGGATGAACGAAAACTTCGGAAGCATCGACGATTTGTGTCAGTGGGTAATGGATCATCGACAGAAAGATTGCATCGAAGTCTTGGCAAGTATGGAGCCAGAGCCTGATGAGGATGAGTACTCCTTTGAGGTTCGTGCCCTGAAGCGGCGAGAGAGAGTCTTGTATGAGAACGCCATGGAGAGAGTCTGGACGACAATGAGGCTGACTGTTTTTGTTTGTTAACATAGGACTTGTACGAACTGACCCCGAGAACCTCGGGCCGCTGTTGCAGCCTTTCCTCACCAAGATCTTACTTTGCATAACTTTCTAGAAAGTAAGGATACATTAAGCCAGCCTTACAGCAGCTCTGCCACCTGGTCCACCGAAAAATGCGAGACTTGGGCGAATGGGCTCGAGATTTGGACCCTGGAGGCTCCTGTCAGATCCAGTACGATATTGCTGTGAGTGCGGCAACGAATCAACATGCCAGCCAATACAACACTTTGATGTTAGATCTGGTCAAGCCTTATGTTCAGGCAACTGAGTGGCATTTGGTCGATCACCACCACGCCCATGCGGCAGTGGCTTGGTTGGATTCCCCATTTTATCGACGCAAAGGCTACAGCTCCTTGATTTTGAGCTACGACGGAGGTGGAAGCGATGGCAACTTGCGGATGTTTCTTGGTGAGTCTGGGGACCCTAATCTGAAAACATTGGTGCCAGGGCAGCCTTGGCATTCCTTCGGCAACGTATATGAAGCGGCTTCCTCCCTAGTCCGGGATCTGGCATGGGGCACGCCTTACGGTTCCAAGCCGCCCTGTCCATATGGCAAGAAGACAGCGTGCCAGCTGGCACTGCCGGGCTCCTTTATGGCTTTCGCAGCAATTGGCAACGTGCGCGACGAGTGGCGGCCTGGGGCAAGGCTTTTCATCAGAAGAGGCACATGACCCGGGGCCAGGGACAACATTAGATGAAATCTGTGTCAGCATGCCTGCTGACCTACAAGATACCTCGTACATTTTGCAGTACTTGCCCTTCCTGTTGCCTCAATCACTTGCGTTTAAGAAATGCCAGGCCTTTGGAATGCGAAACTCTGGCCGTCTCCATTCGGTGGCGAGTGCACGCTCCGGTGCTTTGTCAACGAGTCCAGCGTGTACGGGGGCGACCCCGACTGGTGGTATCGATATGCATCCTCCGGCCAGGCTGCCTCGGAGTGCTTGGACAGCGCCTACACTCGCAGAGGCCGGGCCGCAAACAACAAGCCGTGACAACATGCCAAGCGCTTGGTGCATTCAACTCCTGACCGTTTCTAGCACGGCTTAAGTGTGGATCTTCGCGGTAGAAAAGGTCAAGCGTGATCGAGTCGAACCCTCAGGTGTCAGCTATTCGGGATGGACTCGGTATTACTTTGCTTGCGACAACTCTGACTTGGTGGAGAAGTCTCAGATGATCGATCGGGACTTTGCGGCTACTATCCAAGATGAGTTTGATCAAGTGATGCTAAGTGTGGTCCACACTAAGCTAGATGTCACGAAATTACAGCCCAACTCCTTGGTCATCACCGGGGGGTGCGCTTTGAATGTCAAGACCAACACAGCTTTGGCTCGTGGCTTGAATTTGCCTGCCCATGTGCCTCCGGCGCCCGGAGACAATGGCATCCCGCTTGGAGCAGCATGGCTGCTGCATCCCCCACCCGCAGATCAGCGGATGGATTCGCAAGGTGCTGGGATCCAATTCTCCGGGGCGCCTTTGACGGATGTGCAAGGAAAGCTTTTGATGCCGTCAGACATTGATACTCGGAAAGCATATGTGAGTGGCGTTGGTCTCCCGAACCACATGCATCCCACCCGTGGGGTTGACGGCCAAGAACGGCCAGCACATGCCAGCACGCATGCAGGCAAGCAATCAAGCAAGCATGCCTGCGAGCGAGCAAGCAAACGAAAGCAAGCAAGCAAATAAGTAAGCAAGCATGCAAGCAAGACTAATCAAACGAAAGCTAGAAGCAACAGCAAGAAAACACAAGCAGTCAAACAAGCAAAGCCAGGCATAAGCAAGCGAGAGTAAGCACACCACAACAATAATTAACACCGCCAAGAGCAGTAGGAGATTGTCAACGACAACGATCGCGACGACGGCCACTTGTTGTAAACTGCCGAAACCAGCACTACCAGGACCTATCAGGACTACCAGTGACTTCTTCAACTGCTGCTACGATGACCGTTGCGACTACTGCTACTAAACTGCCGCTGCTGGAACTGCTACGATTACTATACTACTTGTGCTGCTGGTGCTGCTGCCACTGCTCCTGCTACTCCGACACTACCATGACGACGACTCCGAATCAAAAAAATCCCAAGCTTTTGGGGCAGCCTGGAAACTATTGATGTTATTTTGGATTTGCTAGGGTTGGTGATTCGATGTAGGAGTTTGCATAGGATGCAGTTGCATGTTTCACTTTGTATAATAATCGTTGTTGGCTCAAGCCTGGAAAATAGTGCGCTGAGTGACTAGCTGACGCCAAATCTCCGTTCATGGTAGCGGAACGGCTTGGTTGAAAGTCGCTTCGGATGGGTGGTATCTGCTGCCGCAGAGCACGCAGACAGAGGATTGCCCAGGAACGTTGGGCATGATTGGTTCGGCGCCTGCAGCGGATTCGCCGGCTGCAGCGCATCTGGCACAACCTGGGATTGCATCTCCAGGCGGTGCTCAACACACGTGCTTTCAGGAGATTGCCTTCGAGGACCCACCCTCGAGAGGAGTGAGCCACTTGGGCGAAATCGGCCCAAGGAGGTGAAAGAAGGAAAAGATGGCAACACAAGAGCAAATGATACAGGAAATGCAAGCGCTGAGGCAAGAGCTCGCGCGACAAGCACAACAGCACAGTCAGGACTTGGAGCAAGTGAGGGCCGAGAGCCAGCAAAGGTTGACCGAGGCTACGCAAGCGGCCTTGGCTGCGCAAGGGCAGCTGAGCGCGCTACCGACGATTGTCCGAGAAATGGGGCAAACATTGCAGGATGCATTGAAAGGCCAGAGCAAAGAACTTGCAGAGGCCGTGAAACGCACAGCGACGGGAGACAAAGGAAAGCTGGTGCTAGTGGACACCAAAGGGCTCGGGAAGCCGAGCACGTTTTCGGGAGATGCTGAGCAGTTTCTTCCGTGGCGTCACAGGATGCTTGCCTATATCTGCTCTATCTACCCGGAGCTTCGTGAAGCTTTGGAGTGGTGTGAGGAGCGAGAAAAGGCAATCAGCACAGAAGAGCTTACGGAAGCATATGGTGAGAAAGCTGACGAGATAGATCGTATCCCGAATCTGCTTGAGAAGTCGACGGAGCTGTCTTCGGCACTGCAGATGGTCACTGCGAAAGAGCCGTTTGCGATAGTGATCAATTGCAGCACGAATGGTTTCGAAGCGTGGCGAAGGTTAGCTCGAAGGTACGACCCGTCGACAGCCTCGAGAAAGAGATCAATGCTCAAGTCCGTGATCAATCCGCAAAAGCAGAAGCTGGAGCATTTGCCGCAGGCTATCGAAGAGTGGCTTGATGCAATTGCTTCGTACGAGAAGAGAAAAGACGCGAGCGGGAACAGAACCAAGATCCCGGAAGAGATAAAGACCGCAGCGCTTGAGTCCATGTTACCGCAAGATCTGGAAGCGCATGTGCAGTTGAACCAGTCGAAGTTTTCTGGGTTTGAGGATCTTCTTGAAGAGGTCACCAGGTATGTTGAGCATCGTACTGGGAAGACCTTGAAAGCATTCTCTACCTGGGAGACCCGATGGATGTTTCATCCTTTGGGCAAGTCCCGGGAAAGGGCGGCGGCAAAGCGCCAAAGTTTCTGGGAACCTGCAACAACTGCGGCAAGCAGGGCCACAAGGCTGCCGATTGCTGGTCTCCAGCCAAAGGCGGCAAGGGAAGCTACAGCAAGAGTCCAGGGAAAGGTTCGCCGAAGGGACCCGGCAAGGGGAACCCAAAAGGAAGCAAAGGTCCCAAAGGAAAGACAGACACCGAAAGGAAAGTCCGGAGGGATAGCACCGAAAAGAAAAGGAGGCAAGAAAGGAAAAGGCAAAGGAGGAAAACACGCGAACAGCCTTGAAGAGGCGAGCGGAAGCAACGACCAGGAGACGTGGACCGAACAGCCAGAGCAAGACGAATCCTGGGAACAAGGCGAGTGGCCTGAAGACCAGGACTGGGAAGACTGGCCCGAGGAAACCGAGTGGAAAGAAGGAAACGGGCTGCTGATAGGCGGCCTGGAAGAGGAAAAGAAGGAAGAAAAGAAGGAAGGAAGGAAAGAGAAGAAAGAAGAGAAGAAGAAGACAGAAGAGAGAAAGAAGAAAGAAGAAAAGAAGGAAGACTCCGCAGCCGTTTCTGGTCCAAGCGGGTCGGGAAAGATGTCGGACTTCGGGGACCGCCTCCGGAGTGCCGGCTTGGACCCGTCCCAGCTGGAAGGGCTTACGGACGACGAGGCCAACGAGTTGCAGGGGGCCCTTTTGGCGTCCCTTGTGGCTCTCCAGGCGAGGGCTAAAGCACGGGCCCAAGGACCGAAGGCAGCGGAGGCTAAGCCAAAGGAGCCAGAGCCCAAGGCGAAGGAAGAGCCCAAACCAGAAGAAGCCAAGGCGAAAGAAGCAAGGGCGAAGGAGCCCAAGGCAAAGGAATCCAAGGTAAAGGAACCCAAGAAGGAGGAAGCCGAGAAGGCAAAGCCGAAGCCGAAGGAGAAAGAGAAGGCGAAGGCCAGCTCGGGCGTTTCGCCCGGAGCGCGGCTGCAGCCGATCTTTGTGTGCCTTCCTGCGCTCAGGCAAGACGTTCGCACAGGGAGGGGGCGGTGTCTGGGAGCGCAAGGCCGGCGGAGCCGGTAAAGGCTCCAGAGCCGAGGGCTAGGGCGGCTACCCTGCCACCTAAGCTCAAGGTTTTGCCAAAGACTCCGGTGCCAGGGTCGACCAGGGTTGCAGAGCCCAAGGGGCCACCGCCTCCTAAGGCAAAGCGGGAGCGCGGGAGGTCACCAGCCAGGAGGCCCAAGTTGCCCAAGACCCCGGAGAAGAAACCGGAGAAGACCCCAGAGAAGAAGCCAGAGAAACCTGATAGGGGCCACGAACCCGAATGCAGACACACGTAACGAACATATCGCAACCCCTATAGGGCCCCTATCAGGATTTTTGATTGCTTAAAAGAAACCCCTAGCCATAGCGAGTTGACTTCTTTTTCCTCTGCAGCAAAAGCAATATAAAAAATATATCGCTTCGCGAGCGCTCGCGAACGCTTGCGGACTCTTCGCGGACGCTTTAACAAGGATCGTCGGTCAGCTGCCGGAGAAGGAATCAGGGCAGCACGAGAGTCGCATCACCAGCTATAACAGCTAAGGCTATACAGCGTTCAAATGGCCGCTGTAGAGTGATTGATCCGGGTCGCCCGATCATTATATTTTTTTTATTTTGTTGTGTATGTTCTTTGTATTTATTTTTTATTTTTTTAATTTTCATCGCAAGCAGGTAGGAGCGTCGAGCGGTGACGGCGTCGAGCGAAGCGAGGTTGTATCCTGACAGAAGGATCATTTTCGCCCCTGGCACCAACACTCTATGTGAAGGATCTTCTTCGCGGCTCAGCTTGTGTTTGGCCAGAGCCTCAAACAGTTCTACATGAGGAAGCGTGCGAACATTTCAAGGTGACGATGCAGAAGGATCGCAGTTCACGTAACCTGGGGCCCAAACGAAAATGACGGCGATCAGGACATCATGAGAAAACCTGAGCGACAAAGAGTAAGGGACGAAACACGCAAGATGGATCTATTGCAGTTGATTTAGCATCTCGCACACCTCTCTTTTAACGTCTTGGCGTGACCCCAACACGCGCCGGGGTCGGCGCCTCCGAGCCTGCACTGTCCAAAATCAAAAAACGCAGCGTCTCTACGCAGAGCCACGCTCGCTGGGGTCGTAGCCTCCTAGCTATGCCACTCTCAGGAGTTGTACGCTTCCAGCAACAAGTGGTTACTGCACGGCGAGCGCCCCCTGGCCGCCGATCCAACGGCTGACCTGCATATGGAGTCTTCAAAGGCGCTCCCAACACGCCTTGGTGGGGGCGAGCATCAGCGTTTTCCGGGGAATTCTGTTACATCCTTTAGTGCAGCAATTTCCTGTCGACCCCAGCCAGCGGACGCAGTCAGGACGGCAAGCAAAGGAGGAGGCGCCAAAGATATCTCATCGATGAAGAGTAACGCAAGCCGCACCCATCGCCTAACCAACGCCGCCAAACGCCGCTTCGTCGGCTTCTTCATGGCGAGCGCCTGATTCCTTGTAAGCCCAGCCAAATATAGTGGAAGGTGCATCCTCGAATCAAGCGAGCTGCAGAGTTTTGCACAGCCACGCCCCTGGCGCACGACGGCGGATGCTTCGTAAACTGGAAGTCTTGAACGTCACGCAGAGGATCGCTCATGGTCGAAGCCTCCTGCCTCCGACACGGGGTCGAAGCCTCCTGTGTCGGAGGCAGTGACGGGCACGAGATCTCTTATTCAGCTTTCTGAGCCAGTAAGAGTCGCGGGCAACATACTTGCCACCTGCATCCACCTGCTCAACTTCACTCCTGACCCTTGCAATGAAAGACAACGCAGTGACAGGATGCAAGCTGAGACGACGGCCTTGCATGAACTGGTCGCGCGCGACGAAGCGTTCGCTCGTCGGACCTCAACAGGGAACGCGCGATTCCAAAATTAAAACATCCTAAAGGCTGAGACCGTGGCCACGCATGACCGGGTCGCAGCCGACGAAGCGGTGGCTCTTGGGACCTGAACAGGGAATGCGGGATTCCAAAGTTGTAAATACGAGTAAATTCCTAACGAGCGAAGCCAATTCCAAACGGTTCGACACCCATGCATGTTTTAGCCCATGCGAATATGTGAAGGTGAGGATTCGCAAAAGGATCACTGTCCAAAAGGCCTATACAAATGCGCAGAGCCGCAGATGCTGGGGTCGTTGCCTCCTAGCCATGCGGCCCTGAGCAGTTGCGTGCCTCGGGCAGTTATTAATCGGCTGGGAGCTTGGCAGCCGCCATCCCTGGGCCCACATCTCACGCAGCCAACCCTGAGCGCAGATCCTGCAAGTGAAGGCGGATAGATTGGCAGGCAGGCATCAAGCACTGCTGTGCACCGCGGTGCAGGTAGGCAGCAATACCACGCCACGTCACTCGGGCAGCACGGAAGGCCGACAAAGGCCAGGATGATGCAGGACGCGTGCTGAAATCGACCGAGCTTTGCGAGCTTAGATCATCACCAGCAAAAAAAGCGCAAACCGGTGCAAGGCGGCAGCATCCGCACGGCGCATTGTCGATGAGGGAGTGCTAGCAGCGCATGAAGAATCTTCGTCGTCCAGAAACTGAGTAGTTGCAGGTATATCGGTTGCAGCACTCCTTGACGCCTCTCCGCTCTGAATCGGCGAGTCGGGGCCGAATAACTCGGCGCGGCGCAAGGCCTGGTCGCGCGTGGCTCGGCGGAGCCACTGGGCCATGACCGGGAAATGTCGTGTAGGGTCCGGACTAGGGAAAGGTCAGAGACAGCGTGGAGGCAAGCACGCAAGCATCATGCAACAGTTGCGAGCGTTTAGATGTTTTGGCATTACGTTAGAGCCTGAAACAGATCTACACGGCGAAGCATGCGACGCACAAGGATCGTCCGCCACTTAACCTGGGGCCCACACGAAGAACACAGATCCAAGACTTCTGGATCACGCCTCAGTCACATGAAATCGGGCCTGAGATGGGAAAGCAAGCAACATCCATGACAAGCTTATGCCGCGGAACGCGACAAATGCGCAACATGGATCTACTGCGGCTCTTCAGCATCTCGCACATCCTGTTTTCACGCGCAGACGCAAGATGCGCGTCACGTCTTTCCGCAGAGCAGCGCGTGCAACATACTGCAGCAAAGCGTGTGACCGTGTCAAAGTGACGATTCGCAGAAGGATCAATGTTTGCTTAATCTGGGGCCTACACGAAGATCACGGCAGTCAGGACATAGCGATAAAGCCTCAGTCGCTGAAAGTAAGGAACGTGTCAAGGCGACAATGCAGAAGGATGACGGTTTACGCAACCCGGGGCCCAGACGCAGATCATGGCGGTCAGGACATGTTGATAAAACCTGAGTCGTAGAGACTAAGGAGCAGAGGAAGACGTGAGATGGATCCACTCCAGCTAGGCAGCATCTCGGACATCCTTCTTGAACGCACAGATACGAGATGTGCGTCACGTCTTGACGCGACCGCAACACGTGCTGGGGTCGTTGCCTCCGAGCGCGCACTGCACAAACTGCCACGGCCGGTACACGTAGCTGCCCATCCCAAGCAATCAAAGCTGCTCTTCCGACAGCACACAGCGATCATTCTGTACTCGTCTGACGTCTCCCAATAGGCTTGGGTCTCCTTGGGCACCGTCCAGTCAGCACGCGGACGAAAAGCAGAAGGCTGCGGAGAAGACGGTCCGGCGCGCTCCCTGTGAGCGGCGCCAGGAGGAGCAGGAGGATCATGCCAAGGGTCATGCCCAGGGTCATCAAAAGACGACCGGGACGTGCTGCAGGGAGGAGACGGTCCGGCAGCGGCAGCATAGCCACGTGGAGCACCACCACCAGCAGCCGTCTGCTTGTTCGAACCCCGACTACGGGCTTGCTCCAAGTAGCAATTCGTATCATTCTCTTTCATCCGCTTCTCGCACTCCTCTTTAATTGTCGTGAGAAACAAGTAAGCACGGCGGTCGCCGCCACGCTTGTCTGGATGACAGAACAAACTGAGAGCTCTGGTTTTAGCTTCCAGCTGCGCCAGGTCAACTTCTGCGTGCGGGCGAGGCAAGCCCATGGCGCAAAAAGGACAAGCCATTCGAAGCTATACTAGGTCCAAAGCCTCCTGCCTCCGACACGGGGTCGAAGCCTCCTGTGTCGGAGGCAGCGACAAGCACGAGATCTCTGATTCAACTTTCTGAGCCAGTAAGAGTCGCGGGCAACACGCTTGCCAGCTGCAAAACTTCACTCCTGGCCCGTGCAGTGGCAGGATGCAAGCTGAGATCGTCACCATGCGTGAACTGGTAGCAGACGACGACGGGGCTGCTCGTCGGACCTGAACAGGGAATGCGCAAGCCCAAAGTTATAAAATCTCGGAGGCCGAGACAATCGAGCCCACACGAAGATCGTCGCGATCCAAGACATGGTGACGAAACCTCAGACGGGAAAGCAATTAGCATGAGACGCGTATGCTGCGGAATGAGACGACATCTCTGGTATCTTACACATGTCGGCCATCAGGAGCACTTAATGAACATACTGCAGCGAAGCGCGTGACCATGTCAAGGCGACGCTTTGCAGAAGGATCAATGTTTGCTTAACCTGGGGCCCACACGAAGATCACGGCGGTCAGGATAGAGCGATAAAACCTCAGTCGCAGAAAGTCAGGAGCGCGTCAAGGTGACGAGGCATACGGATAACGGTTTACATAACCTGGGGTCCAAACGAAAATCATGGCGGTCAGGACGTGGTGAGAATACCTGAGCGACAAAAAGGTAAGGAATGAAACGAAAGACATAAGATGGAGCCACTTCAGCTAGGCAGCATCTCGCACATCCTTTTTTGATCGTACAGATGCGAGATGTCGTCACGTCTTAGTGCAACCCCAACACGTGCTGGGGTCGTTGCCTCCAAGCGTGCAGTGCCCAGAGAAAAAAAACGCTGCGTCTCTGCGCAGATCTGCAGAGGCTGGGGTCGTTGCCTCCTAGCCGCGCACCCCCAAGTAGCTGCTGCGTGCCTCGAGCAACAAGCAAGCTCCGCAAACGTGGCGAGAAGGCTGTGTAGGATCATCCACTCTGCATGGAGACCAAACATATGCCTTTCCAACGGAATTTCAAAAGGCTTCGGGTTTCGGAGTGTAGGCAGCAACAAGAAGAAAGGCATGACTATGATAAAGAGCCAAGTCACACAGGAACCACCAGCGGCGCAGGACGCCCGGGAGCAGCGACCCGTGCAGCGAAAGTAATATTCAGTGGCGACATAATGATCCATCCAGCACAGCAAGTCGATGGTGTCGTAAATCATGTACTCTGATTGAAAGCTTTGAGGCACCAACGGCAAAGTGCCGCGCAGGTCCATCCGCTCCCAGCCTTTGCCGAAGGACACAAGGTTCAGCTCTTGCAGCTGCTTGATTTGGTCCGCGGGGAGGGTCACCTCGAACAAGATAGCAATGTTGTCTTGAAGTCGAATTCCTGCCTGCTGAGCATCGTCAACCAAGCGGAACCTGCGCCCTTCGAGCGTGTTCCGCGACACGGGGTCGAAGCCTCCTGTGTGGGAGACGGCGACAGGCGCGACGGTTGCCGAGCTTGCAGGCTCCAACAACACAGCTTCCCCATGACGATTGCATTGACGGAAGAAGGAGCTCAGAGCAAATTCTTGGCGACTCCACAGCGGCAAAGCAGACGAGCTGGAACGAACCGCAGCCCGTAAGGCTTGCCGCTTAATCACATCCTGAGCTTGTGTTTGCAACAACGCCACGTAAAAGGAGTACGACATGGTCGAAGCTTCCTGTGTGTGACACGGGGTCGAAGCCTCCTGTGTCGGAGGCAGCGACAGACACGAGATCTCTTATCCAGCTTATTGAGCCACTAAGATTTGCGGGGGACAGAGCATTTGCCACCTGCACAACTTCGCTCCTGACCCTTGCAGCGAAAGACGGCGCAGTGACTGGATGCAGGATGAGACCCTCGCCAGGCATGAACTAAAACACCCTAAAGGTTGAGACCACGGCCATGCGCGAACTGGTCGCAGGCGACAAAGTCGTCGCTTTTCGGATCTCAACAGGGCAATGAAAGGCAGCGCAGCGGCAGGATGGAAGCTGAGACCCATGCATGAGCTGGTAGCAAGCGACGAAGCGATCGGTCTTCGGACCTGAAGCGGGCAGTGAAAGGCAGCGCTGTGGCCAAATGCGAGCTGAGACAATCGCCACGCGTGAACTGGTCGCCGGCGATTCATTTTTTCCCCTTGCAGTGAAAGACAACGCAATGACAGCATGCATGCAAGCTGAGCCCCTGGCCATGCATGAACTGGTAGTAGACGACCACGAAGTAGCTCGTTGGACCTGAACAGGGAATGTGCGATTCCACGATTAAAACACCTAAAGGCTGAGACCACAGCCATGCGTGAACTGGTCGCAGGCGACGAAGTCGTCGCTCTTCGGACCTCGACAATAAAATGCATCGCAGTTGCAGGATGCAAGCTGAGATCATCGCCATGTATGAGCTGGTCGTCGGCGACGATGCGGTCGTTCTTCGCACCTGAATAGTGATTGCGCAATCTAAAATCCTTAAGAGCGGAGCCAATCCGAAAGGGTTCGGCAGCGATGCAGGTTTTCGCCCATGCGTGGAGTCACAGATACGAGATGTGCGTCACGTCTGGGCGTGACCCCAACACGTGCCGGGGTCGTCGCCTCCGGGCCTGCATTGCCCAGACAATATCTTAAAAGCGTAGCGCGTCTGCGCAGAGCCACACATGCCGGGGTCGTTGCCTCCTGGCGATGCGACTTTCAGTTGTTGCGTGCTTCTCGCAACAAGCAAACTCCGCAAACGTGGTTGGAAGGTCGCGAGGGGTCATCGAGTCTCCACGGGGACCAAACATATGCTGTGCAGCGGCATTTTACAAGGGTTCGGACTGCATCCCTGCAAAGAAGCAGAGACTGAAAACAAAATATGATAAACAGCCAAGTCACACAGGTACCGCCAGCGGCACACGGCTGCCGGGAGCAACGACCCGCGCACCGAAAGTAATAGTCTTTTGCGACGTAATGATCCATCCAGTCAAGAAAGCTGATGCTCTCATAAAGAACGTGCTCCGTTTGAAAGCTGTCAGGCTGCAACGGCAAAGTGCCACGCAGCTCCATCCGCTCGTGCTTTTTGTCCAAGCACAGCAACTTGAGCTCCGTGTGCGTCTTCACCTGCTCCGCAGGCATCTTGACCTCGAGCACGTGCGCGATGAACTCCCCAGCTACCGCCTGCCGAACATTGTCAACCAAGCGGTACGTGCGCCCTTCAATCGTGCCATGTGACACGGGGTCGAAGCCTCCTGTGTCAGAGGCTGCAAGATCCAGCATGTGTTGCCCGCGACGGTTGCATTCCCGGAAAAAGGAAGCCAGAGCCCATTCTTTGCGACTCCACAGCGGCAAAGCACGCGAGCTGCACAGAGTCGTAGCCTGCAAGGCCTGCCGCGCAGTCACATCCCGGGCTTGTTCTTGCGTCAAAGCCACGTAAAAGGAATACGACATGGTTGAGACGCCAAGATCAGCCGGTGTGACACGGGGTCGAAGCCTCCTGTGTCGGAGGCAGCGACGGGCAGGAGATCTCTTAGTCAGGTTTTTGAACCACTAAGATTTGCGGGCAACATAATATTTGCCACGTGCGCTGCTTCACTCCTGACCCTTGCAGTGAAAGACAGCGCGTTCACAGGATGCAACCTGAGACCCTCGCCATGCATGACATGCAGCAGAGGACGACGGCGTTGCTCCTTGGACCTGAACAGGGAATCCGCGATCCCGGAGTTAAATCATGACAAAGACTGAGACCCTCGCCGTGCATGAGCTGGTAGCAGACTACGTCCGGGTTGGCACTGGGTCGAAGCCTCCTGCATCGGAGGCAACGACAGGCAGGATCTGAGATTAGCGGGCAACATAACAATTGCCACATGCACAGCTTCCCTCCTGACTCTTGCAGTGAAAGACAGCGCAATGACAGGATGCAAGCTGAGACCCTCGCCGTGCATGAACTTGTAGCAGACGACGACGGGATTGCTCGTTGAACCTGAACAGGGCATGCGCGATCCCAAAGTTGTAAAATCCTAAAAGCCGAGACCACGGCCACTCATGAACTGGTCGCAAGCGACGAAGCAGTCGTTCTTCGGACCTGAAGAGGGCAGGGAGTGGCAAGTTGCAAAATATTACCATAAAGATCGAAGTCCATCCGAAACGGTTCGGCACGGGTGCGTTTTTTCAGTCCGCGCGTTGAGTCACAGCGCGACACGTTGCGGGGTCGATGCCTCCAGCGACGTGTTCGAGCGACGCAAGTCACGGCTGGCCCATCTGGCCCCCCGCGACGAAATATAAGTTCCTCAGGAAATTCCATCCAGATGGCCACCAATGATTCCGCCCATTGTGTCCGCGGTCCCAGCGAAATTGTTCCAGGTGTGCCACACAAAGAATGTAGCGATCCTCCAAGGCAGATCTCAACATTTCCACAAAACCCACACTTCGATGCTTTCCCCAATTGCAGTTGACTTGTCGGAGGCGGCATTGGTCCAACTCTTCGTCCTTCGTGGCGTCTTTGATCGCGAAGCCATTGGCTTCGCGATCAAGGTCGCCACGAAGGAGACGATGAGTTGGACCAATGCCGCCTCCGACACCCCTCTGGGAGTGCGCATCGTAATGACACCATGCTTGTCAACCTCGCTCATTCCTGTTCCACCTGGAGGGGATCGGGGTCGATGCCCCGCCAGCGAGTCGACGTCTGGCTGAGCCAGACGTCGACTCGCTGGCGGGGCAGATGGACTCTATGGAACGCTGACATCGGTCAATCGTGGTCTCCAGATGCTTGGACCACACGTAAAAGGAATACGACATGGTTGAGACACTGGGATCAGCGGGTGTGACACGGGGTCGAAGCCTCCTGTGTCGGAGGCAGCGACGGACAGGAGATCTCTTAGTCAGGTTTTTGAACCACTAAGATTTGCTGGCAACATAATATTTGCCACGTGCGCTGCTTCACTCCTGACCCTTGCAGTGAAAGACAGCGCATTCACAGGATGTAATCCGAGAACCTCGCCATGCATGAAGTTGTAGCAGAGGACGACGGCGTTGCTCCTTGGACTTGAACAGGGAATTCGCGATCCCAGAGTTAAATCATGATAAAGACTGAGACCCTCGCCGCGCATGAGCTGGTAGCAGACTACGTCCGGGTTGGCACTGGGTCGAAGCCTCCTGCATCGGAGGCAACGACAGGCAGGATCTGAGATTAGCGGGCAACATAACAATTGCCACATGCACAGCTTCCCTCCTGACTCTTGCAGTGAAAGACAGCGCAATGACAGGATGCAAGCCGAGACCCTCGCCGTGCATGAACTTGTAGCAGACGACGACGGGATTGCTCGTTGAACCTGAACAGGGCATGCGCGATCCCAAAGTTGTAAAATCCTAAAAGCCGAGACCACGGCCACTCATGAACTGGTCGCAAGCGACGAAGCAGTCGTTCTTCGGACCTGAAGAGGGCAGGGAGTGGCAAGTTGCAAAATATTACCATAAAGATCGAAGCCCATCCGAAACGGTTCGGCGCGGGTGCGTTTTTTCAGTCCGCGCGTTGAGTCACAGCGCGACACGTTGCGGGGTCGATGCCTCCAGCGACGTGTTCGAGCGACACAAGTCACGGCTGGCCCATCTGGCCCCCCGCGGCGAAATATAAGTTCGTCAGGGAATTCCATCCAGATGGCCACCAATGATTCCGCCAATTGTGTCCGCGGTCCCAGCGAAATTGTTCCAGGTGTGCCACACAAAGAATGTAGCGATCCTCCAAGGCAGATCTCAACATTTCCACAAAACCCACACTTCGATGCTTTCCCCAATTGCAGTTGACGGCAACCCGGACCGTGTCGTCGTTGGGTCGCTCCACGCTCCCCTCCAGGTGGAACAGGAATGAGCGAGGTTGACAAGCATGGTGTAATGACACCATGCTTGTCAACCTCGCTCATTCCTGTTCCACCTGGAGGGGATCGGGGTCGATGCCCCGCCAGCGAGTCGACGTCTGGCTGAGCCAGGACAGCAGTTGCCCCCGGTGTTCAGCGACAGTGTCGAATGGTGCTGTACAAAGAAGCATGCACGAAACTGCAGCAACGCAGAGCAGGGTCAAACGGTTGTGGTTGGCGAGCACGTTCGTACGGGAATGCACTGGCGTTTGTGTCACAACGGCTTCTGGGGCACTTTGCCATGAAAATGTCAAACATGGCCAAATAGCAGTCAAGGTTCGTCCAGGACCAGGCGCACGGCCACGTAGTAAGATAATATTCAAGTAGTAAGAAAGTTGGCTAGAACACACACAGGACTGGTATCAGGTCCTGCGTCTGCATGCAACCGAGTTTTCAGCATCAGCGTCTGAGTGTTCAGCGCAGATCTTGGTAGAGTCAAAACCGCGCCTTTGTGGAACCCATGCTGTTCCACAAGGAAGACGAACTGCGGAAGCAGATCGAGCAGCTAATAACTTCATGACTCGATGTTCTGTCGTCATGTGATATAGCTCACACAATGGCACGCATGCAGGCATCTCCAGTCTTCAGCGCAGCTTTTCAGCCGGTCGAGGAACTCAGGACGGTTGCTGAATCCGGTCAAGAAAACATTTGGATGTGCTCCAGCGAAGAGCACGACGGCACACAGATTTGGCGTGGTTCTTACCTCGGCAGTTCCATCCTTGGAACCCCATGAGGCCTCGCTGCAACAAAAAAACCTCCAAGGTTCGCAAGCCCACCCTCCGTCGCAGTCTCCCTCCCCTCCGCCCGTGGCCTGGCCACGTTCTTGCGAATTCGGTGCAATGGTGGGGCGAAGCGGATGTGCTTAGCTTCTAGCGAAGCACATCCGCTTCGCGCCCCATCGCAGCGCAGGACATCTCGCAGACCTCCGCTGCGAAATCTCTTCGCAGCCTGTCTTTGTCGGGTGCGGACATCCCGGCCCATGTTTTCGTTGCGACTGCCAAATTGCTAGCCAGCGTATCCCCTCCAGCACGCGCATCCTTCCTTTTGGGCCAATTCCCATGTTAGCGATGAAAAGCCCGCAGCGCTCTAAGGACAGCTTCAACTTGGGGCCCCTTTGGTGCCATCATTCGAGCCGCGGGCGCTTCAGTTCCCCGAAAAGACACTACGATCTGACGCCGTGACCACTCGACAGTTGGACGTGCTTGCAATGAAAATCAGAAATACGAAAACATCCTACCTGCTTGCAACGAAAGCGAGAAATACGAAGACGTCACGACTAACATGACCTTGCATGATGAACCATAAAAGCTGCGCGCAATGCAGTCGCCGTCAAGGCAGTCACCCGCAAGGCTTTGCAAGACGCGGACCAACTGCTCTGAGGTTCCGGCGCCTTAAGCATCCGCTTAACATGACCTCGTATCGTGAGCCACGCTGCAGCTTGCTAGAGAAAGACAAGAAGCACGACGCCAGTTCTGAGACGGTTGCTCGCTGCAAGCCCCAAAGTGCATTCAAACCCTAAAGCAGATCAAGAGAAAACCTATTCCGCGCTATGGAAACCCGGCTGCCCGGACTTACCTCGGCACAAGGTGGCGGAGCTGAGCGCAACACGAGGCAACCGTAAAACTGTTTTGCACCTTATCGAGCTCACCCTAGAGCAGAAAATAGCAACTAGGCAAACGATTTTTTTGGCTGCCAATTACACCATGGCCGTCTATACATGTGCCCAGCAGCCGGCGTCTTCTGCACCGTCTGCCGAAGCAGGCTCCGGCACGTCGTCTTGTCGGAGAACATCGAAAACAGCCGCAGTTGCCCCCGGTGTTCAGCGACAGCGTCGAATGGTGCTGTACAAAGAAGCATGCACGAAACTGAAGCAAAGCAGAGCAGGGTCAAACGGTTATGGTTGGCGAGCACGTTCGCACTCGTCGGGAAGCGGAGGTGCCGCGAAATGGCGAGTCAAGGTTCGTCCAGGACCAGAAGAAATCTATCAGCGTCCGCATCCAAGAAAACATTTGGATGTGCTCCAGCGAAGAGCACGACGGCACGCAGATTTGGCGTGCTTCTTACCTCGGCAGTTCCATCCTTGGAACCCCATGAGGCCTCGCTGCGACGGAGAAACCTCCAAGGTTCGCAAGCCCACCCTCCGTCGCAGTCTCCCTCCCCTCCGCCCGTGGCCTGGCCACGTTCTTGCGAATTCGGTGCAATGGTGGGGCGAAGCGGATGTGCTTAGCTTCTAGCGAAGCACATCCGCTTCGCGCCCCATCGCAGCGCAGGACATCTCGCAGACGCCCCCTACATCCGGACGCGGGGTCCTGGCCTCCTGCAACGGACGCGGGGTCGCGGCCTCCTGCGCCAAGAGAGCTCTCACGTAGCCGCAGCTCCTCCCGCTGCAGCGCAACTGGCACCGCTCTAGCGATGCGTCAAAGCTCCAGGACTTCCAGCACTGTTCGGCCTCCGAACACGTCCGCCAGCGAGCCCTCTGAAACGACACTCTCATTCGTCCAGGATGACAAGAAATCAACAAATTCCAGGGCGATGAATGGCTCCTGCTATGCCAAGCAAACGCCGCGCTGAATGCGCTGTGCAAGAGCATGCTCTGGCTCCAGCTCTGGTTGGCGACCACGAGGCGGGTGTCGGCCACGCTGCTCACGGAAGGCCACTCCTTCCTCCACTCCTTCTTCCCAAAGCACAGCGCGAAGCTTCCAGCGCGGCATCTGCAGCCGTCCAGGAGTCAAGGAAGTCGCCAAACCGCTGCCGCAACTCCTCTCGGTGTTGCGCGACACTCACAGCTCTCGCCACTCGTGGCCCCCTGCGCCGGACGCGGGGTCGCGGCCTCCTGCGCCAAGAGCGGTCTCACATAGCAGCCATTGGACCTCCACTGCGAAATCTCTTCGCAGCCTGTCTTTGTCGGGTGCGGACATCCCGGCCCATGTTTTCGCTGCGACTGCCACCTTGCTAGCCAGCGTATCCCCTCCAGCACGCGCATCCTTCCTTTTGGGCCAATTCCCATGTTAGCGATGAAAAGCCCGCAGCGCTCTAAGGATGCAATCGGTTTTAGGGTTCAGGGTTTTACAATCATATTGAAAGGAACATCAATTCCATACAACCATCTGTTCAGAATGATTTTCATGTAATTGAATTAACAATATATAACTACTATTTGTTTAAGAAACCCCAAAAAATAAAAAATAAAAAAATCCCTATATTACCCCCATAAAGAATATATTTTTTATTTTTTGTGTGGTTCTTAAGCAAATAGTAGATAAAGTATGCGCATGCATAACGCCTAAACCCTAAGCCGAGGATGTCACTGAGTGCGTGGCATGTCCTTGACTTTAGCCATGATCGACCTGGGCAGCCAGACCAAATGCCCAGACCAGCGAAGGATCCAAATCCCAACATGAAACCCCAACCCATGGATTAGGGTTCTGGGTTATGTGTGGCTGAGGCTTAAGCAGGGACACTGGAGGAAGTAAATGTTGAAACCGTAAGGTGGAGGTTCAATGCGTCTGTTGCTTTCACAGGGGCTGGAGGATTGGGGAGGATGATAGCAGGCCACGATGGAGGTTTGCTTGAATATCTAGGTTTCAGATATTGACAGGTTTTGTAATCAGAGCTCGGCCGAGACATACGTGGTGAGCCGCTGTTGTGCTGCATGGGGCGAGGGCGATGGCAATGGCAAGAGAGCAATCTACACTAGGGTGTGATTCCGGGCTTATTTAACTGGGCTTTAAGGTTCGAAGGTTTCAGGCACCAGTGCCTGCAGATCCTGGCTTGGAACCTCCAAAGGCTTCATGTTGGCTGGAATGAAAGAGTCGAGAAGGGACTCAGATGGAAGAACAAGGAAGCAGGCAAGCGGCAGCCTAGGGAAACCACAAAGAATTGTTTTACATTGTACGATTCCACTGCGGGTTCAGGTTCTTAAGGACCTAAACCAGCTGCAATAAGCTTGCGGCATCATCTGTGAACCTGGGCGGCACAAAGACTAAGACCAAAAGCATGTTGTAAAACCCTTATATGACGACGACGCAGCACTAGTAGGGAGCGGTGATTCCAGCAGCAAGGCAGTGAAGCAACGAAAGAAGAAAGAGGAAGAGCAGACATTCATGTTGGCGACGTCCACTGCGGACACGAAGAAGACGTTGCCCTTGCCTTCACAGGGCCGTTCGAAGCCTCTTGGCAGTTGACCTCTGGTAGCAGCAGCTCAACGGAAAGGCCAAAGGAGGCCTCGTCCAGGGCTGGCTCCATGGGAACCCATGCGCCCAACTGCAACGTTTGCTGCCATGTCTTCTGCAGGTATGCGCTCCTTCCCAATCTCGAGAAACAGTCCTGCGTTCTCTGGGAAGCGTGGCCAGGAATAGATCCTCTTGAAGACAAGACTTCGGACCTGACCATACGTGTTTTTCAGCGCATTCACAGCCAACTTGTCGAGACAATCTCCAGGCGACGCATGTGGCTGCCACTGTAGGGTTGTCGGGTTTAGGGCCCTGAACGCTGGTCCGAATTAGAGGCCTCATTTAATTAAACTTGGTAACTTACACTCTGGTCAGGTCTTAGTAGCAATGACAAGCGTGCTCGATTCTTGCAAAGCCTTGCTTGCTGTGTCTGCGGGGATTCGCTGCACGGGCCCAATAAATTCATAGCCTTCAGAAAGAGACGGCTTACCGTATCAACAGCACTGGACATTTTTATGAGGTCGAGGATGAAACCACAAAATCACGAAGTCCAGAACAAGTGCATCCGAAAAATCCCTGGATGTCCCTGCTCCTGGGGGTCTGGCAATGCCGGCATCGCTGATAACAAGCACGAGGGCGAGCTGTTTGGTTCACCACTTCGGACCTGAGTAGACAGCCAGCTTCTGAGCTTGGGTAAGACGCTGCAAGCCCCAAATTAAGAGCATTCGCTTTCCAGCAGTTTTCGGCATGCACGATTCCAGGTACTCGCCACCGGAGGCGCCAAGGAGCTTCGAACTGCACAGCTCACGCATCGAGACAAAGACCCATGAAGCGTATGAGTCGTCTGAAAAGTCGTACCCGGGCGGCTCCGGAAGCGGGGTCGCGGCCTCCTGCGCCGGACGCGGGGTCGTGGCCTCCTGCGTCTTGAGGATCCATCAAGTGTCTGAGTCGTCTGAGAAGTTGTACCTGGGCGGCTCCGGCCTGTTCGGATCTGGCAAAGGATGCACAAAAGGGTATGCAGCCAAGTACTGCTGTACCGTCTGGTTCATCTCTCTGCTGGAGTTGGCGAAGTTGCCCAGAAGAGTGTTGTAATCTCCTGGATACAGCGCCATGAGAATGTAGTCTCGAAAAACTACGTCCGAGACGATGGATCGCAGCGAAGGTCGCTCCATAAAGAAGGCCGGAGCTGGCTAATATTCGCTAGCTTGCACGCGTGTGCACACTTCAGATCAGCATCAATGGAGAAATACACAGATATCACCCAAAATATGACCTTACGACATGAGCCATAAAGGCTGCGCGCAAGGCAACGCAGCTGCGCGTCGCTATCAAGACAGTCTTGCGCAAGGCTTGTCAAGGCGAAGTGCAACCGCTCTGAGGTTCCGGCGCAGCAGTTCCCACAAAACACAGGACACGCTGACGCCGTCACTGCTGGACAGTCCGATTTGCTTGCAATGAATATCAGAAAGACCAAACCATCCTACCAGCTTGCAGTGCCACTGACAAATACGAAGAGGTCATGAGCAACAGGACCTTGTATGATGAGCCAGAAAAAACGGCGCGCGCTGCAGGCGCCGTCAAGGCAACCGTCCGCCTGGCTCTGCGAAACACGGAGCAACTACGCTGAGGTCCCGGCGCCATACGCATCCAAGCCCACAAGACCCGGAACGATTGCGAGCACGCTGCGACTGACTGCACTGACAGCGTGACTGCTCCACGGTCCTGCCTGCTTGCGACTGGAAAAAAAAACTGAGACATTAAAAAATAAAAAATAAAGAAAAATAAAACCTAAATCGCGCGCGTTCTGTGCGTTCTGCGGATTTCCCCTTAGCTTGGCGGATTCAGAACGCAGTCCGGACTTCTCGGGACGCGTGCGTTCTGTGGAGTTTTCCCTTAGCTTGGCGGATTGAGAACGCTCTCAGGACGCGCGCGTTCTGTCGTTCTGTGGAGTTTACCCGTAACAGCGCTGCGCGACACACCTCGCGTCACGCGGGGACGCGCGTTCTGTGGAGTTTCCCTTTAACAGCAATGCGCGACACTTCTCGGCACCCTCGCGTCACACGCGGGGAACACGCGGGGACGCGCGTTCTGTGGAGTTTCCCCTTAACAGCACTGCGCGACACTTCTCGGGACCTGTTCAGTTTCCCCTTAACAGCACCGCGCGACGCTTCTCGGGACGCGCGCGGTCTGTAGAGTTTCCCTTAGCTTGGCGGATTCAGACCGCAGTCCGGACGCGCGTTCTGTGGAGTTTCCCCTCAACAGCGCTGCGCGACACACCTCGCGTCACACCCGGGGACGCGCGTTCTGTGGAGTTTCCCCTTAACAGCACTGCGCGACACTTCTGGGGACGCGCGCGGTCTGTGGAGTTTCCCCTTAGCTTGGCGGATTCAGAACGCATTCGGGACGCGCGTTTTGTGGAGTTTCCCCTTACTTGAATGTTTCGGGGGTTGCTAACATGTTATAAGTGGTTGGTACAATTGCGAGGGTTAGCTAAGCCACTTAGGGGCTTTATTAAGGGGGTTTAGCGAAGTTAGGCTAAGGGGTTAGCAACCTGGAAACTAAGTATATCAATGGTGAAATTTATGGTTATGTAATAACAGAACATGAAGATTTGAGAAGTGAAATCTCAAAACTGTTTTCGGTAATTTGCGAGTTAAAAGCAAAGAAAACAAAAGTCTACAGCACAAAAATCAAAGAATGAGCAAAGCGAGAATACAGATCTCAGAGGGTTGAAAATTAAAATCAACCCAACTAGCTGTTCGAGAAGCAAACAAGCATGCAGCTCAACTGGCTCCAGCAAAAGCATGCCTGCCTGCAAAAGTACCGTCCAAATCCCATTCGTCGTCTGCGAGATGCATGACATGGAGTATCGTTTTGCTGCATGCATGCCATGCACATGGAGCCTGCTCGAAGGCTTGCATGAGGCTTGCCATGAAGCATTGCATGCTGCATGCATGCCATGCACAATCGAGCATGGAGGCATTCTTGCTACAATCCTGCTGCATGCATGGCATGCATCATGGAGCACGATCGCATGCATGATGCATGTCCATGGAGCACTGCAGCATGCACTGCATGCTGCATGCATGACATGGAGCATGCATGGCATGCATGGAGCATTGCATGCTGCACATGGAACATGAAGGCTTGCATGATGCTTGTCAATGGAGCCTTGCATGCTGCATGCATGCCATGTGCACGAAGCATGAAGGCATGCATGATGCATGTCGTGCATGCATGCCATGCACAACATCGAACATGAATGCATACGTACTACAATCACGCTGCATGCATGCAAGAATAAACACAGATCGTGGAGCATCAGGCATCAGGTGCATGCATATTTTAGCATGGCTGCTGCGATTTTCTTGCCTGCAACATCTTCAAGCCATGCTGTTGCACAGGTGGCGGGGTAGCAGGGTGGTGAGAATGCCTGCATTGTTATTGTAAACTACACTGCACAGGAAAGCATCAACCTGCATGATGGATAGGGCTTCACCTGCAATCCTCCACTTGGCCACTTGCTTCACTGCATCATGGGAAACATACTCGCATCTGGACACAACACCTGCAACATAGCCGTCCACTTCGATAAGCCATTGGAGTCGGCCACAGCAAAAGGGGATGGGTGATTCATTGTCGGCAGCTGCATGGTGCAAAACAACATCACCGGTATGCAAGACAGCACCAGAAGCTAGCCGGCACTCTTTGCTGCAGTTGCAGGAATCACTCTCAGACACGATGTTGCTCTGCAGAAGTTGTGCCATGACTTTGGCGGATACGG